ACTTGTCCGCATATTTAAAAACAGTCGCCGTATATATTGCTCCTTAGAAAGGTAGGTCGTTTTGGGCCAGAGGTCGGGTTTGAGCCTGGCTTTAGGGTTCTAGGATTACTGGGGTTTGTCTGGCGCATTGTGGGGTTCTGAGGTTTGGGGCTCGGGGTCTAGGGTCCTGCAGCAAGGTTTGCAGGGTTTCAGTTTAGGGCTCTAAGCCTTAAGGTTTGGGTTTTAGCCTTCTAGTCTTATTAGGGCTTAGGGTTGAGAGTTTGTCTGGCGCAGTCCAGGGCCCCAGATGATGAGGCTTTGAAGTGGCTATTGGGGTTTAGGTTTTCGGGTCCTATGGTTTAAGGTTTGGAAAGGAGCGCGCTCGCAGCGGACACAAAACTCGCGGTTGGAAGACCCGGCAGGTCCAAAGGAGGTCCAACCACACCCTCAAAACTGAAAACTCTCCTAAACTTTAAACCCCTAAACTCTAAACCTAAAACCCTAAACTCTCAGAAATAGACCCCTTCTCCAAAACACCCAGAAGCCTGGAAACAACAACCCGAAAGCCCTAAACTCGGAAGCCCCTAAACCCCTAAAGCCCTACACCCTAAACCCTGATCCCTAAATCCGAACCCATGAACCCTAGATACTATAGATCTCTTTAAAGGAATCCCTAAATCCGAAACCCTGAAATCCTAAACCCTAAACCCTAACCCTAAATCCTATTAACCCTAACCCTAAGCCCTATGAACCCCAACCCTAAACCCTATAAGCTCTAACCCTAAACCCTATAAGCTCTAACCCAAAACCCTATAAACCCGAACAGAAACGCTGAAATCCGAGACCCTGAAATCCCAGGTACACGCGCGGCATCCGTGAGAAGTTTAGCGACTCCAAAGGCTTTGCGACGGACCGGATGATCTTCAAGGCCTCCCCCCTGTGTTTTTGGGGTTTCCTAAACCCTAAACCCTAAACCCTAAACCTTAAACCCTAAACCCTAAACCCTAAACCCTAAACCCTAAACCCTTTGGGGGGGGATTCCTATAAATTGACCTATAGTGTAGAGATGATCTTCAAGGCCCCCCTCGTTTAGGTGTAGTTGTTTAGGGTTTAGGGTCTAGGGTTTAGGGTTTAGGGTTTAGGGTTTAGGGTCTAGGATCTTCAAGGCGCCCGTTTTGGTTTGAGATTATGATCTGGGGCTTAGGGTTTAAGGGCTCAGGGTTTAGGGTCTAGGGTCTATGAGGCTTTGGGTTTAGGGTCTAGGGTGTGCAAGGCGCCCGTTTTTTTTTCTATGGGAGGGGGGTGGGTGGGTGGGTGGATTCCTATACAGGGATCTCTAGTGTAGATAAGATCTTCAAGGCGCTCTGTTTTTTTTGGGGGATTCCTTTTGAAGGGGTCTATAGTACATAGGGATTAGGGTTGTGGGCTTAGGGTTGAAGGGCTCGTTTAAGTGAAGTTTGTTTAAAGTGAGTTTAGCTAAGGGTGTTGAAGTAAATTTGTGTTATCTTTGCTTTGGCTTCGTGCATAGAGTTCCCGGTTCTGTAGGGGTTGAATTTGGAGTTGTTGGGCGCTGACCTACACCAAGTACGTGGCATAACAGTCCATGGAGTGTCAGATTGCCTAGGGTTCAAGTCGAGACCCCCTATACCCTCAACCCTAAACCCTGAACCCTGAACCCTAAACCCTCAACCCTAAACCCTAAACCCCTAAACCCCAAACCCTAAAAGCTTCAAGATTCAGGATTATAAAGGTTCGAGGCAGGGTGCTGAAGACCGGCTCTTAAAGCGGGCGTCATCGTGTTCTTCCAGGCCTACAGCCATAGTATACCCCACAACACGACTTTATTCAGCTCCCCATCTTAGGGTTGTAAGGTTGAAGGTTTGAGATTTCGGATTTGCGATTTCAGCTCCGACCCTCCCTCTGCCCTTTGTTAGACCTTAGATAGCCTTATTAGTTAGAATACGGTTTTGGGGGCCATTATACTATAATTATCATAGGGAACCCCNNTATTTAGGCCCCTACATTACTTACTATTAGGGACCATCTACTCCGACTGGAGGCCATACAGAGGTCCTGACATATTTCTATTTCTGACACTCTGGGCCCAGACTCCTTCCACCACGGAATGACTGAATTGCTTGATGCCCCAAGCTTCCAAACTCCAAGCTTGAATCCCAAGCCCTACACTGTAAACTTCAGCCTTCCACCCGATAAAGCCGTAACGTCGAACATGATCATCTACGATCTAGAGCCTCGAGGTGTTCACGATCCTACTCTGCGCAATACTAGGGCACATTTTCTGAGGAATTGTGCTCTTCGTAGGATTCTTGAGTTAAGAGGATTCTGTGGAACCCTAAGTGTCCAAGTACCCAAAT